ACAGTAGCTCCTTAACAGCCTCATAAAAATAATGAAACTGTGATGCTAGCTGCTCTCTATGCTTCTAGCAGCACTACATTTGAACTGTATGTCGACAAAGCAACAAAGTCATCACTATCTACAGTGAGCACTTGCATTATGCTGATGAATGGAGAGCCCTGCCAGATTACTTGATTTGATAAGCAGTACAACCCAACGGTAACATAATACATCACAAATTGTTTTGTCAACAATTTATGATACCATTTATCAAATGACCATCGCAGTGGGCTGAGTTATGGTGTCATAGCTGGCATAATGTCAATACTCAAGCTGAGTTGAGGGCAGTCTGGCCACAGTGATTTAGACACTACACTCTGACCTCTTGGAGCTTTTCCCTTCATTACCAGACAAATTGCTGTTGAAGGGTGAAAAAAAGTTGTTGAATTTAATGTTTAAATCTTTACAATTAAATATATGAAGCAGGTAAAGTGGTATAGAGTCCAAAGTCAGTGTGGGCATACTGCAATTTGATCACTTCACATTCACAAAATGGGCACACTGTTTAGCTTAAATGTGAGTTTTGACTTCAAAATGAAGTTGCTTTTGTGCAAAACAAATTAACATTAAAACATTTAATTGAGAAGTCGTTACATATTTAATGTGTGTTTGTATGAAAATCTACCCCATACGTTTTCTTGCTGCTGACCCACATCAGTGTCACAACGGCAAGACGGTGAGCACAGCACTCAAAATGTCCCTTTCATCACTGACACCCTCTAGTTCTTTTGGTCACCTAAAAAGTCTTAGAAATCTGGTAAACACATCTGAATTTTACCATGAAACTGCACTGCAGCCATCAAGGTCTGTTTCATTCTGCACTTGAGAATCAATTTGGGCTGCAGCCTAGATGACAATTAAAACGTAAAGCCTTGTATTCTGGTATTGACCGGAATACATGGCCCATGTCCAGGCCAACGCCACTCACTGGCCAGTCTGAAAGGTTACCGCAACCACTACATGTACCCACATTAACAGGACACTCACCTCTCTGGGTTTATGGCCTGTGTAATAATTTTAAGCAAAGAGAGAGGTGCATTCAGTGGAGACAGTAACAGTGAGAGAGTCGAGGGAGGACAAGTATAGTATGATTGATTGTGGTGAGCAGAATAGCTGTGTACCACTCACCTTCCCTGCCTGATTACTGTCTGCTCCTGATCTCTCGCATCTGTCTTGACTTACCAAAGAAACTGATTCCTTAGGTATGATACTGTTGGGATTAAAATTTTTATTGAAAGGTTGACTTGTTAAGGAGCATGTTGCTTTATATTGATGCAGTTATATATAAATGAGGTGTTCAGTGTGGTCAGAATGGGCCACAGAGTAGTGGAGTGCTTTAATACTGCAGGTGTAATGTACTGACATAGGGTATTTAGATGGTAGTAGTTTAGGGAGTTGCTTCTTATGATTGTTCATCACCCAGATTTTCAAACTAAATGTACTCCTTCCCCACAAACATGTTGGAGATGTATCAGCTTTCTAATTGTGCATTTAACACTCTTAATGGTTTATTAGTTTACCTTGCTCCCACACAAACAGTTGAAATGATTTAATGACCACAGGGGGCGTTAACAACACTCATTAGGAGATACAATATTTCATGCATAGTTATCTACCCTTCAAAAACACTACTGTCCAGTATGCACAGTCTGTGATGGAATGTCACAAGGCACATTTAGTCAAGGAGTGTACTTGAGTAATTGTAAAGGTACTCATTTATTTCAATTTCTGCTCAGGAAATATTGCAGTTTTTATTCCAGTGTATCTTATATACTAAACCTATGATCGGCTCATAACTCCTTCTCAACCAACTACAAAAATAAAATGCAGATTTTACTGAACACTTATGCATCAGTTATATTATAACTCCTCAGGGAGCACTTTGCTGCATTTGAGTACTTTTATTTTGAATCTTTAAGTACATTTACTGCAGCTGATAATACCCTTGAATGCAGGACTTTTACTTGTAATGGAATGTTTTGCACTGTGGTATTGCTATTTTTACTACTCAAGATTATACAACATACGATGTTTTGAACTTTGATCCATGCACTGGAATTTTTACAGGCACCAGATTCAACACGTTCTCGTGCTACTTCTGTCTCCTTTCATGTGTTCTACCATAATGAAGACAAAGTGCATGCACATCAGTGACAAATATCGGGAATTAAATAAGAATACCGTATCCAAACGGAATGGAAGACTGTTCATAACTGGGTTAGTAATGTCTCTGGCACCGTCTGCTCACTCATTTCCTCCAGTCTCCTGGTGCAACAGGGGACATCATACAGGCGACACTCAGACCAGGAGGTGTCTCCCTGCTGCATGACAGGCTGCCTTTACTGGGCTCCAGCATTCTTTCACTGACTTGTGTGACAAATTTGATTGAAGGATGCTCGGAGAAAAGACCAGCATCAGCTTCAGGTGTAATACAAGCAGCAACTTAACAAATCTTTTAATGATTTGTGACCTCACTGTGGAGAGATAAAAAAAAACATACACCCATAACTTCTCACTTAATCTGTATTACTCTCATCACAACAGAGCAAGCCACTCTATCAGTAAATGCTAATCTCCTAATTAACAAGCTAATTAGGCAATTACAGCTTTGCAGAAGGATGCCTAAATGAAATATGACAACACAGTCACTTTCTACAGCACCTGTGGGTCTTTTCAGATGTCACAATGAGAAGCATGATGACAAAGTGTTGTCTCTACACTCATAGGTGCTTATTCCTATGCCTCGCTTAGCTCATTTGTAAAAATATTGTCATTTTATTTAACCTAATGTACAGTACACATGGAAACAACTTGTCAAATTACATGTAAACTATTTCTTTTTAAAGAAACTGTGCTGCAGCAATTCTAGGACATTTTTTTTTTTACACAGAAATATGATTTGTGAGAAAGAAAAGCAGAAAGTAGTGGAGAGCACAACCCCTTGGTTAAGTAAACATGGTTTTGGGAACTAGTAGTGCCACAGTGTCTTACTGTAAGGAGCTGTCACATACGGAAATGAATTATGTTGACATATGGCTGAAAACAGCGGTGAATAGGCCTGCTATGCAATGCAATGAAGAATCATGCACTGCAACAGAGGAGAGGAGCCAGAGCTGTACCTTTGAGCCCTTCTTGACAGGTATGTAGTGTGACTTGACAGCTCAGTATTTCAATGATAAATGTAGTAGTCCTGGGACTCCCATTCACTAAACTCAAGAGTGTGATACTTCAAGGTCAAATGAATGAGTAGAACCACACAAGCCACTAAAGACAATCAGTTTTTTTTAGATTGAGCACTTGTGATATTAAGATTTCTAAAATTAATGCTATGCCTCATTTATTCTAGGACATCTTTGACTCATCCTCATCTCGTTCCTGGGCTGCACACTGAGAACCAGTTAGGTAACAGCAGGGGGATGTTCTCTTCCTTTTCTGGTAAGATAAGCAAAAGTTGTGAAGAGTTATTTTAAGTAATGACTCACTGTATCGTGACTTCAATTGAACTTCGTTTAGCAAAGGCTTCTTCTTTTTATGAAGATGAATACAGTCACTCAGCTCTGACTCATGAAGATGAATCATTTCCTGAGACCAGGATTTATTCACAGTTTGCACTGACCAGGAATTATTTCAGAGGATCACTGGTCTTTTTAAGGTTTACACTTAACTCGGTATCCTTAAGGAATAAGATATTTATAATAATGAGCAACAAATAGTGACGTTTAATAGAATTTTATGAAAATTATATTCGACAACATTTCTTACAATTGGGGACTGTGTCCGTTTGTTCTTTACTGAGAAAAGTAAGTTCAAGTCTCAAAGAGATTAACTATATCCTATGTGTATCATCACTGTCTAAAAAGTCTATATCCTGGAGAAATAAGATCACTAAAATTACTACATGGTCTCTTTACCAGTAAAAATACTGCCCCTAATAATCAACAGACTGAATAAAAATGCCACCAACACCAAGAACTATGAAACATGGAGATAATTGTTATTATTTCATTAGAATAGCACAGAAAAGTTTAAGTATATATTATGCCAGTGGTTACTGCACAATGTTATTTCTTCACTGGCAAATCAGCTTCCCCAGAATAGACTGAGCTCTGGATGAAGTTTTTCTGGGCCCTGATCCCTGTTTGGCTCATTAGTGTATTAGTTCAAAAGAGGGCTTATGAGGCTGAAATGAAAAACAAAAATGTTGCAGCCACTTACCAACTAGAACTGCACATTTCTGCAAGGTGAATTTTAGTGCAGCTTTTTCTCTTTAACTGAATGTCTCAGGTATCTCCAAAATACATATAATGCACAGTTTAGCACATTTACTGATGCCTAATTTTGAGAGAAATTACATGCACACTGTACACTGTACTATAAACAGCAGTCCTGTCCTTGGTTATGTTGACTTTGTGAATTTATTCCATGGTCATCACCAACCCCAAATCAAATAAACACCTTCTTTTAAAACTTCAGCATCAAGGTCTTGTGTTGCACAAGCCCTGCCTTAAGAGACATGCTGTTGTCATAAAACTCCAGTGTAAGAACATCAACCCATGTTTGTAGCGGCACATTATTTATTCCTACCGTGTTATCATAAATGTTCATAAAACAAAAACACAGTCCTATTTTTCCTTTGTAAATCCAAGATTTTGATGCTTATTGAAGACGTGCACAGTATATTTGCTGCCTTGCATCCAGCTCAACAACTTGTCTGCTGCCATAGCAACTGCGGAGGGGCACAGAGCAGCGCCGCCTGCTTGTGCAATGGATGTCACTCGTAGCAACGACCAATCAGAAGTTCCCATCTTTTTGCACGAGCAGTGTAAAGATGGAGGGATGGAGTGGGTGGGCTTTCGGCATCATGTATTTGCCAGTAATAGGACACACGGATCGTCAGTCTTCATCATTCTAGTCCGGGATTGGTCGAGGATCTTTACTTTCAATAATATAAACATGTCTGCTGCTTGCCTGGCTTGAACCAAGGCTTACAAGGGACTATGCAGTTCTACATCAAACTGTATAAAAACTCTCATTATGTATTTGCCTGTGTTGTTGCAGCGCTAAATCTTGATTATTGCTAGAGAATATGCACATAGCTGCACGTGCACGCGTGAGGAAACGAGGATACCCTGCCGCTGCAAGAAAGAGAGGGGAGATTCTGCCGTGCTTTCATCATTATAATCACCATCCTAAGTACTAGCTCTTAACATTTTGTTTTTCGGTGTTCAGGGGAGAAGTGACAAGAATACAGACCCCTCCTCTGCAGGGCGGAGCGTGCATTTTCATTTCGTATTTTGTATTTTTTTTATTTTTTTTCTAGCCCTTTTCTCTGCTCTGACACGTCTGCACTGAGTGAGTGGCATTGGCACACTGTCAATCGCTCACTACCGCTGCCATCAAACAACATAAAACACACACAGGCAGAGGCTGGAGCTCATAAATTTCAGCAGGGCAAGATATTTTTTGCGCATCGCCTTTATACAGCGTTGTATCCTAATTAATTTCTTTTTTCTCGCTGTTGCTTTTTTTTCTAAACAGAAATCTCCCAACTTTTTGTACATTTCATATTTTTATAGTCACATTTGGACACCATATGCCGCAGATTGTGTATTTTTTAAAATGCTGTTAGTTGTCGTGGGAATCATTTGTGCACATTTGTAGTTAGCAGCTCCTGCAAGCCTAAGATTTTTTTTTTAAATTTGTTTACGCGTTTTCACATTGGATATTTTTGTTGCCGGTGCTTCACGAGGAGGACTTGGACATTTTGGAGAGGAAATGCGCCGGGGATCCCATGAAGAGCGCTAATAAATGAGAGATCACCAAGGAGCGTTTCTGTCTATACCACCCGTCAAATCGAAGAGAAAAGATCGATTGGCATGAGGATTCGTGCGGGATACGATGGACCGTCAATTTTGACAAAGAAGTTCTAAGAAGAAGAAAAAAAGGTTTATGCATTTTTCTACCAACCACTCGGTTTGGTACTTTGGACCGCGCGTAAAAAACGAGAGGACAGCGAGAACTTGGACACAAGATTTAAGCTAAACATCACTGCTAGTCTTCATAAAAAATAAAATAAAATAGAAACGTGTGTGCTCTGTTAAGCTGAAGAATCCCACAGCCTTGCATCCTTCTCTGCGGTACATGTTGTTGTAGCCAATTTCGTATATGAGTTTTTCAATTTGTGTGGCTCAGTGCACAGACTCTTTAGCGGCTACTATGGACGATCAAGCCCGGATCATGCAGTCGATCGGCGGTGTCAGTCTGACTGGACACTCGGTACAAGGAAGCATGACACTGCCGCCTCCACATGGACACGATGGGACAGACGGGGACGGAAGAAAACAAGACATTGGTGACATTCTGCATCAAATAATGACCATAACAGATCAAAGTCTGGACGAGGCGCAAGCAAAGTTGGTTGATTTATATGTTTTATTACCCCCTCCCCCCAAAAAACCAACAACAACAAAAAACAAACAAACAAACAAAAAGCGGTGAACGCATCATTATTACGATGTGGTCCGCTTAACTTAACTCCCCCATGCCTAACAATAGGCTGGGGTGCCTGTAATGATAATCTCACCCAGAGCTGTATTTGTGATATGGAGAAGCTTTAACACATCAGAAAGTTGTGAGGAGGCAACAGCAGCATTTTATTTAAAGTGCCTGTATGCCATCCTGAATCTAAGTGAGGTGGCCTTGTACAAAAAGTTTGTGTGCACACATGTTCATACATCTAGAAACTATAACTGGTGCTGAAAAAAACTAAATTAACCCCAGTAGGCTGTAACTTAATTGTTATATTTATAATGAAAGTTTATTTAGTAAAATCTAATTAAGTCACTTATTTTCTTTTTTTTCAACTTTGAGCAAAAATGATGTAATGTATAGCAGCAAATAAGTTTTGGGAGGGGTGTGGGTTGGAAAATAGCAAGGCATGCCATAGTGACAACTAAATATCTTAAATAATCCATTTACCTGCTAACGTCTAACGTGTGACTTATCAGTGAACTTATTTCAGTATTTTATCTTGTCTTATACTGAAACAGGAAACATGGACTGAACTGTCACAGAATGAAACCAGCCCTCTTCAGCGTCCTCTGTGAAATCAAAGAAAAGACAGGTAAGATATTTGTGTAAAAAGATTCTAAGATTACCTGAAAGACAAACAACAGCAAAGCCTCAAAACAATAGCACACAGACATTTTTACCTCCCAGTGATCCAGCCAGCATCCCGGTTTCGGGAAACTCTCCGCCCAAACAATCCAAACACTAAACCAAACATGTCACTGTGCCACAGAGAAATAGTTCTGTTGTCACAGCAGACTTTTGCAGTGTTTTTGCAGGAGCGCCCTCACTACCCTGGCACAGAACAGGATGAGGGGAAATCCCATAGCATACGCTCTATATTGCTAGGATCACATAGTATCAATGCTTTATAACCTGACAACAATGATCCCACTTGTCATCATGTGAAGGCAACAACACTCTCAATCAAAAATCGTGTTACACTTGAATACAGATTCCTTTCTAACCAATGTGGACAGTTAATCCGAGTAAAAGCAAAAGACAGCTTCTAGACAATTATTGAAAAAAAATCATTTTGAAACAAGATAAATCAGTTTTAGAAACACACTGCACAGTTGCTCATTGCAAGCGTCCAGTTGAAACCTTTCAGTGTGTGTGCATAGAGTATGCACACGTGAGAGGCAGCTGAAAATATAGCTAATGATTTCATGTCTTTTGCTGTAGCTCAGTCTTTGCTATTGTACATTTTTAAATTTCCTCCAGACAGAGTTTGCTGTTCCTACATTTGTTCCACAGTGTTTATAGGACATAATAAACTGCATCTTTTTAAACAGATGCATAGATAGATATTTTCTTTGTCCCCAAATTATTGTTAAACATAACTGATTTTTAGTGATGATAGCTTTGTATTGACTTATTATGCCTTATATTTATGCAGTTGTTCTGTTCTTGAAACAACATGCTGTTGAACAGATGAGTCGCATATCTTCATTTATCTTCCAAGGAATACTGTACAATTTGTAGAGTTCTCACTCAAAGAAAAATAAGAATTGGAAGACAACAATGCTGTGGGTTTAGTGTAATTTAGCAAACTTGATGCTTTGTCAGATTTGTGACCTTTGTGCAGTTTATGAGGAAATTGGCTTGGGGAAGATCATAAAAGTTTATGAACTTCCCCAACACAGGTGGCGTCCACAGCGGCAGGCTTAGGTTTCACAGTCTAGCCGAGGTGCTCTGCTATGTGTGTGTGTGTGTGTGTGTGTGTGTGCTCCTGTTGAACTGAGACAATGAAAGAGATAGAGCAAGGAAAAGCAGTGGATACAAATCATGCATCACATTAGATGCCAGCTTTTATTTTGTATGTGATCACTGATTTGATGTGAACATGTTGTCTGACAAAGAAGCATCGCTGCATCTGTAGAACCTCAGTGAAAAAAACAAACTCTTAGATAAGTGGTTTTATTTTCAAATGTAAGGCATATTAAAATCCTGTGCCACTGTCTGGGTAACTGCAACTTACTTTAATCTTTAATCTGATCCTCTTTAGCAGTTTGTGACAGTGATCCAAGCTCTCCAATTTAAATAAGTTTATCAAAGTAGCCCGAAAAAGTAAATCAAGATGACAAAAACCAACTGTACATAAATATATATACATGAATGAGAGTATATGTGCCTAGGAGTAAGTGTGCTTGAGAAGCAGATGAGATGGAGAACAAGTGTGTGTGTGTGTGTGTGTGTGTGTGTGTGTGTGTGTATGGTTAACCTGTGGTTTAGAGTCACAGCCTCCCCCTCTTAGCCATTGACAGAGCTCAGCTGGTCTGGTGGCCTTGTTGACCAGCCTGTTTTTCCAGCACACAGTGAGCCTTTCACTGTGGTGTCATTCACAGGGGTTCCTTGGCCCTTTCATGTCTGCTCAGATGGCAGAGGGGCTGCTGTCTTTTAGCCATGTCACCCACCGTAGGCTGAAAGTGACTTTTAATAATAAATCTGAAAGCGCTCCAAGAATCGCTGGTGTAATTACTGCGTGCATGTATCATGTTATCATGACTTACTGTCTAGTGTGCAGATGAATAGTGGATCCAGGATTCAGCTTCAAAGCCTGAGAAGTGTTTATGTTAGAAGTGTTATTTTGTGATCTGCGGTGAGACGAAATCAAAGAGGTGAGAAGTACCTTACTTTTGATTTTCTTAGACTTTTCAGGGTGTTTAGAAGTTTCTGGCACTCCTCTGTAGCTGTTATTGTAGAGCCACGGCATATTTCTGCATTGCTAATGCCCTAGAAGTATTAATTCACTTTGATATGCTAATTAGAGAGCATTATGCAAGAAATGAGATTAAGTGGCAGCATGAAGTCATTTGCCTGTCACTAAATTGAGTGTTTTTAGCAGGAGGGTTTTTTTTCCCCCTTAAATTTTCTTAGTTTTGCATTTAGATAAGCTAAATGTGAGATTCGGTTGGCAAGTGGTGTTCCTTGTGATGTTTCTCTTTTGGTACAAATAGTTTAAAAAATGGCAATTAAAATGTTTTATTCTCTTATGTTTCAGGACAAAGGGTACATTCATGTTATACCTTTTTCCCTGTAGGCTGCATGTGGAAACAATGAATGCATTGAGAGAAAACTGCCTGCGATTCCGATGAGTTTTACAGTTATTCCTCTCTGCTGGGTTTGCTTTATCCTGCTGGCTACTCCCTTGTCTTGCTCTCATGCTTGGAAGGGAGGCTCACAGCAGCAGCAGCAGTGGGAGCGGCAAGAATAACAAAGGTGAAAGATTACCTCCATATGGTATTTCTGACCAGGAAAAGAGAGGTTCTGTAGCAGGACTCCTCTTTGATGTGAGGTTTAATCAATAGAAAGAGATTACAGAAAACTATTACAGGCTAAATCACGGAGTGCCACAGAGAGGCTTAGTCCTCTCCACAGCTCTCTCAGCTGCATGGCGCTTCTTTTGGCTGCATATTGACTTGTTGTTTTCCTGACCTTTGACTCATCAGGTTCAGAAACGGAGGGGTGGGGGTGGGGGGATGAGGGAGAGAGGGAGAGTGTGGCAGATTCAGCCTGATAAATGCTCCGATCCATTGTTTAAAGCAGTGGATTAGAGAGGGAGTACGGTCACAGCCTGAGCCAGTGTCGGGATTATGTTGCACATATGTGATCTGGCTTCTGGAAACCGCTCAACATGCTTCCGTGTATGTTTATTGGTTTGCCTGTGTTATATGTAATTTTCAGCTAGGAAGGACTGTGTTGTCTCAATATAGTTCAGGATGAGCCTGTAATTAACCACATGCAAGGCTGACTAAAGGCATTACCTGGAGTAAATAGAGTTAGGACTGAGGAGGTAAGCATTTCTGAAATCTACAGGGAACATTAATTTCAATGTTCCCTGACAAAGTTAATGAGCCTTCTAACTCCAATTA